CTATTTGAACAGTTCATTAAGTCATTTTTTCGCTGCATTTCGATACATTTTTACAGATGGTTAAATATTTATCATGAAATTGTTAATTGAATAAATTTTCTTAAAAAAGGATTATGTAATTATATTTTGCAAGACAATTAATTAATAAGGTAATTCAGAATACACATTTCCGTTTATTTAAGACTTATTAGCTGATTAACTTGTAAATGCTGACAATATTAAGGCATACATTTACAATAATCATGTTCGTACACAGCCATAATTAAATTTAAATCTCAACTAATAAAATTTGCTATAACGCTTAAGTCGTGATGAATACTTTGACCAGATCCCATCATTTGTAAGATCACTGAGTAAACAATAACCTATAATTCCTGGGATGAAATACTTCAGACAGTAGTTACTTTTCCCGTCCTTCATGTATGAATAATGACTCACAAGTCACACGACTAAAACATCTGTCCATGAACTATTCAAAGATCAGAAATATCTATTGATAATCAAATCGCTCAATGATTGAATAACTCAGATTATAAAAAACTAGATTTCGTAATATAATACTTACCGTTAGAATTCCAACAATATTCTTTCTTATTCTTTTAGTTTGAAGTAACACCATTAAATTACTGTTGCTGATATTCAAAACTTAATTTTTATTAATCTCAACTTAATAAGTCTATGATTATATGAACTCAGTAGATTAATGGATAATGCCTTGGTGTTTTTGGCGATAGGTATCCAATCTGAAAGTCGACATTAAGATACATGTAGATACAACTGACTCATCCCAAATAGGATGGAATATACATCTTACATTTCCCTATTAGCCAAAACCCTACTATACTGGAATATTTATCGTTCTTGTTTCCAAGTAAGTTTTTCTCTTCTAATTCATCAGTTAAATTCCAATTTATGTATAGAGTTTCAGCTTTTATTCATTATAATGTTGACTGAAAATACTAATAAATTATTAATTAGAGTTTGTTAATTAAAATCAAGATTAGTCGAACTTTAAATCTTATGAAAAATCCACAGGTTAATCTTAAATGAAAACTTCTACTTTCTAATAAAAATTATAACTGCATTTGAAATATTAAATATTTTTATTTGTTATTAATCAGAATAGTTTACACCAGTATTATTTGACAATAATCACTTTACCAGTTTGATAACTTTCAATTTTTATGAAGAAAGTTTAATTGTCCTTAACAATGGAATACAATTAGGTAATTCTGTAAAGTTTAATACTCGCCAACCAGATATACCTACATTTTAATACTGATATATACAGTGAGACTCAAACTCATTACTTATCGCTTTAAACTCCACCGTGTTTTACACTGAGGTACTGATTCTCAGTAACGCGGTTGGGATTCTATTGCTAGGTACAATCTAACTTTAATAAAAACTTGTGATCAAATGCTAACATCAACTTAATCTGCTAATGATCCACAAATGATAATAGAGATCGATCAATTACAATCCCTAACATCAACAACTGGAAAATACAAACCACTACAAATTCAGTTTCATTATATTTTACGAAAATATTGACGATATCATGGCAAATTCAAACTATCTAATTTCGATCCCGAGTTAACTGCCTAAAAATAGGACACAAGAAAGTTACGGGTATCTAATCAAAGTTATATCATCAGTCTGGGTTATCACTGACTGTAATTTTGAGCTATTTTGGTGATTTTAGACCACCTGGTTTTGGTCACGGAAACAATTGTGAACAATGGTTGAAAATTTTAAGTAATATAACTGGAAATCTATCACAATGGCGCTGATACATTTAACAGTATTTTATATCTTAACTTCGAATATTCATTCACTTTAGATTAATAATATTCTGTTGAAATTAAGTCATTTGAAATGAATGACTTAATCGTAGATCTCCTATTGTCTTTCTAGACAACGCCATTAGCTTAAAATTCAGGTAGAAGTGAATTATAAGAATTTCTTCACAAGAGACTACCAGTTCGTTCTACTCAAATTCAAGTTCAACCAAATAGGCTATTAGTCACTTGTGGAGAAATCCTCATAATTCACTTCTATCTGAATTTCGAGCTAATGGTGTTTCCCAGAAAGATAATGAAAACCTCACTACCAGACTGTTCAGTTCAGAGAATGGAATAACAAACAAAATCATGCTTTCGAGCTACAAAATATTATCCATTACCTCAAAAAAAAATATTCCTTGTGTTGAGTCTTTAGTTTCCTTATCATTATTAATAACAATATTATTATTCCAGTTTAATTATTTTCACCACGCCGCTCTGATACACCAATATTAGTGGCTGCAGATATTTTACTAGTTGTAGATTGACTATGTTTAACCAAATGTTAACAATTTGACATTAAATCGAAAAGATGTGAATAAATATTGAAATTTCAACAGTCATATACCACCAGCTGCATAACAGGTCAACATGATAGTAGTCTAGAAACAAATATGACTTCATTTTGGTGATCTTTTTTATACTTCAGTAGAAAACAAACTAATCCATGTAATATCCATATGAAATGTAACAGGATTAAAAATAATGCTTAGAAATGAGAATTAAGGCCTAATTATTAATTGAAATCTAGTAGAATGACTGTTGGTAAAACTGTATCTTTCTGGATCTGTAACCGTTTTTTTCCAGAAATTTCATATCTTATTCAACTCAATGATAAAATGATAAATTCTGATGGTTGTCAAACAATACATCTCGAATTTTCATTTAAATGTAAAAGGAATTATAGATAATCCGTTGAAGATTCACCCAAGACGTTATTTTCATTTGTACTATTTTTGAGGATGAAAATACCAAACACTATTTTAATAAACCTGTTTGATCATATGAAATACTATTTTGAATAATTTAAGTACTTAAATATAAAATCAGTAGGATATACGATTTATTGTCTTTCAACTAATTCACGTAAATATATTGTTGCTCAATATATACGAAGTTTGTATTCTGTTGTTGAGTTTTATTTCCGTTTATTCCTACTTTGTATACCTTTCAGCTCGAAACAATTAGAAAATCGTTAACATTTTACCTATATATAGGACAATATCAACATCAGTTGAACTAAAGTGTTTGTTAAACATTGCAAAGATGTTTTCCTAATTAAAGTTAAGGTAAGAAAAATTTAGATATTAGTTATTCTATAGATCAATTCAAGGAAACGAATGTTTACAATAAAACATTATTTCTCAAAACAATAAAAAATGGTTCTTAAAACAAGATTATTTTACACTACAGTTTCTTGTTGCAATTTTTCATTCGAATAAACTAATTATGAAAGCTTTTGGAGACTAATGAATGTTATTAGAATCACGAGCTAATATATGTTAGATAACCACTGAAAGGTAGGAAACATTGGTTAACTAACTGTTCCATCCTACTATGGGACTCATTAACAGAACACACCACAGCTCTAAGGGACATCAAGGTTTCAGAGCAAGGGCTTGGCCTTTAGACCACTGACTTGACAACCAGTGCTTTTCACGTCTAACCTCATCCAATTCGTGATGCTCAGCAACCATATTCCATTGTGTTTGATGGGTAACTGCCTCAAACGCGACACAGTTCGATTCTTAGTCGGGTTCCTCAAAAGTCTCATACTAGAACGGAACAGCTTTTCAATACTTCTTGATTTTTAGCGATTATCTAACTTAGGCCGGTTAGGGATAACAATGAAATTAGGTTATTAACGGAAATAAGTTAATCAGTGTGTAACTTTCAGTATTATCATGCATATGGTTGTGAATGAACATTTAAGGCCTCTACAAATGTCGGACAAATGTAATGCTATCCTACATACAAACCCCTTATTTTATTCATATCGTTCACCTTATTTTGGTAGAATGAGACATAACCACATTGAAACTCATATAAACAAATAGTAATCTATAAAAGCTCCATCAATATTGTATCTTGTACACATTTATACTGTGATAAAATAGATTGTAAGAGTTAAAATTAATTGTTAAAATGTTTCGTTCCTGAACATGTATACCTGTTATTTAATGTTATTATAGATTCCTAGTTTAAAATATCTTCAATTATTTGTTTTATGTATAAATATGCTTATTCTAAGACGAAAACAAATAATTGAAGGAGTGTATTTAAATATATATTTTGTGTAAATAATTCTATATTGCGTTAACTATATAACATTGGAAAAGTTTATTATTATCAGTGGTAGTAGTATTATAAATAAAATAAACAACAGCTGTTTACTCTGAAGAAGCGGCTTACATTAAGTTACAAAACGTATGAAATACAATTTTTCTACGTTTTATATCCTCATTTACACATACATAGAGATATTTAAAGCAATTAGTTCGTTTGATAGATTTCGATAGTGTAATAATCTCTGTCTTCTTATAACACACAGATATATATTCAAAAAGACAATCAACTAAGAGCTTATCAACTGAAAAGTTTCAAAATTTTCAACTATTGAATGTAAAAATTTATTTTCAATAGAATAACATGTGTCTTTACAACACTTACATAACACTACAAAATATAATTTAGTTACTAACTTATTTTAATCAGTGGTAGTCTATTTATTTCATTAGCAAATGAAACGTCAAGAAAAATATTATATTGTGAATGTTAGCTAAAACTAATGTACCACCTACATATTGATGAGATTATAATACTTGCCATCATGTTTAATAAGATGTGTTTGCATGCATGTATATAATATATATACATATAGGTTATTGAAACATCATGATGTCTATCAAGTGTTGCGCTGTAAAATGCATAACAATCTTTGTCATTACTTAAAAGAAAGTGGAAATACACTAATCAGAGTTAAGACTCTCCATAGTCTTGAGATAATTCATTTATACTACATATAAGTATTTCACTCTATCTCTTTTGGCAACGATAGTTTTAGAAATAAGGACTACATTTTTAAAAATAGATCAGCCATTCACTCTGAGCATATAATAGATACTAATGATAATAAAATCACTCAATATATCTTACCTGGTATTACTCAATTCTATACAGCATTCTTGAAGTTCCTAATTAATATCCTTAATGATATGGAAAGATGACAGAATCATGATAATCCTTTGAACCATAATGTAAAAATAAACTTTCGATGTTTAGTCTCCCTTTTTTGCTTTAAAATGAATGAAAAAAATATTCATATATGCAAAACTACCACAAATTATTGTTTGTAGTTGTATTTGTGATTTTCTTATATATAATACACTTTAGATTGGTTGAATTGATCAACTTTTGAATAATAACAAAAATTCCAAGCACCAAATTGTAAATAATATTGTATCGTTTAAATTTGTGTTCAAATTTCAATATTCCAATTACTGTTGATTGTAATTTTTTTTTAGTATTTACCTGATGAAACGATTGATATATATATTTAATGTCACTTGCTAATAATTGAGGGTAGTATACTAGTAGTGATAATAATCTTATTATTAAATTTCTAACAAACTACTTCGAACTCATGGGATGAGAATATCAGTAATTTTTAGAAATTATTGTAACGTTAACAAAAATCAATAATGATGATAGCCCTTATTTATATAGATATATACATACATATATAGTATATAATTTAACTGAAAATGATCCACATGAATTCTTCCAATATGATAAAAATATGTCAGTGTAACAATGAACTCATGTCAAAATGTTGAAGAATAATCTATCTATACAAGAAAGTATAAGTCGTTTTCTTTTTCATTAAAACAAAAAGATATAATAAGGCGAATATCGTTACTACCTTCAGATGTTTGTCTGTCTACAATCAGTAAGTGTGTATATGTATTTATGTGTACGTGTATATTTGTATGTATTTATGCATACAGAATGATAAATTATCTTTCTATTCAAAGGAAGGAAATAGGAAATACGTAAATATCATTTTGACAAGTTTGAATTATCGTCTGTGAAAAATGATTGATGATAGTTGTATTTTTTTAAAGAAAAAAGTATCCCAAATGAGTTTCTGCACGTTGTTACAAGACGAATGGCTACGATGATGGTTGGTAATAATCAAAGATGAAATAACATGAAACGTGTTAATAACAATGATGTATTTCCACCCACTCAATAAATAAATAACTGAATAGCTTTCTATATTTTTCGGTTAAAAATTTTTTGATGGGCAAATATTTGTATTCTTCCACTGGATATTATAACCTATCTCTGTTAAATTCACTAGTTAGAATATTTGAGTGGTGGGGTTTTGACTTGCAAGGGGTGTACATATTATGTACAACGTATGTATACACACGTATATGGGTCTATTCGTTTGTGTACAAGAGAACGGGTAATTTAGTTGTTCACGTGTCCGTGATTATGATTGGACCACCAGTAGGAACTGATGAGTAAATTCAGTCGTCCCTGTTTGTTTTCATGTTGAATAAAAATAATCCAATGACACAACCATAAACTAACTACCAAAAGGATTGTTCTCAGGTTACTTGATAAGTGTAGACAAATTTTTAAAAAGTTCATTCATTGTGTCTACTAAAATATGCGGCGTTTATAAAATCAAAATATATACAACATAACAAACATTTATGAAACACTCATAATCCTCCTAGTGGGAAGTCAGGAAATAGGGAATGTTAAGGAAGGGAATAAGGAAAATGATACCAAACAAACTTTCATTGGTGTCACTGTTAATAAACAACTACTACTATAACGGATTTTAGTTGAACTAGTAAGGCTATTAACCAATCAGAAGGAAGTAATACATCGGTACCTTATTTCGTGATTGGTTACTTCTAGCGCTACCATGTATTGTGTGTCACATTTACATAAGTAATAGATAAACAACAAAGTCGGAGGGGGTGATGATGTGAGAGAAAAATATCACACACATACAATTCTTAAACGTATGTAGAGAACATCATATTTCTGTGAAGACCAATAGGAATACACAAACAAGATAAAGAATTGGTATATTTCGTTGAGAAATATATTCCCAGAAGTGAACAAACAATAAATGTGCATAAGTGTGACTGCTCCGTTTCTCTCTCTTCACATATAAACACACACAAATATATACGAAATGCTCTGGAACATTTTCTCACTGTTTGCCCCATATGTCTGTTCAAGTGCAGTTGACTCCTAATTTTGACAACATTAAAAAAGTTTATGGTAGCCGAATAAAAATTTTTATCTTCTAAGTCACATATTACTTATTGATTTACACAAGTTTTTCTATCAAACACTTTAATTTAGGAATGGAAAGTCTCTTCCTAATGTACTTTAGAGAAGAAAAAATCAGTTAATCGATAAACAAGGAGCTATCTTTAACTCAGAGAGAACTAGTTCTCATAATTTATTGTTTCTGTTAAAATAAATGATAAAATACTGCTACTGTCAAATCTATCCGAAAAGAATGGCTAGTTGTTAATCGTAATGACCAATATTATTTGGACAGTAAAGGTTTTTGATATCTGAGACTTATCAAAATAAATGTAGAAGAAAAGAATCACAGCTGACATCAAAGAAAAGGTAATAGGAAAATAGATAGTTTACTCTTTCAAGTTATGCATAGTTATTTTTCCTCACTTGTTTATATGTACATATTAACCGCTGTTCTCAAGCTGTCAAATTCACAAATAGATAAAGTACAAGGAATAGGACCTTATTAACTACCTTGTTGATGGTAAAATTGACCTGAAAAGACAGAATTTAACGACAGTGATACTGAGCTCTCTCTCTCCTAGATATTGTACTCAGATAAACGTCGACTAATATAAATGATGTTAATACAAAAGAGTAACGCATTAAATACCATTAAGAAATGAACGACATTGAAATTGGTCAATTCATCATTGGTCAAATAAGAGAAGCATCTCCTGTAAATGGTAACGTACTAGGAAATAGCATAAATGTTTTAATTAGTGAAATTCATTAAAGCTAATCAGGTCAAGATAAATTCAAGTATTTACTGAACTGTTTCTTTTTGGAGGATTATTTACTGTTAAAATAGATTGATTACTTCCATTCCATATTTTTTACAATTTAGACTACTGATCAGTAAACGTTTTATCACCCGAACTGTTAACCTTCCTTATTTATTACTGATGAATATTTTCTTTAAAAAAACACCTGCTAGCATATTAGTTACACTTCCTACGATATTCTAGAATGAAACTTTGCATGAAAATATTAATAATCTCATTAAATGTTCTTGAAGTTCATGTGGGTTTTAAGATCCACCTAATTATTCACAGGAGTCTTTTAAAACTTTTTAAAACAAAGAAATAAAAAAACACCATTTAGCTCATGTTACTGATATTATTAAACTGTGTCGGGTATGATGCAGTTGTCCTACAATTGTATTTGGAGATGGTTGCGCTACATCACGAAATAATGGGAATTATAAGTGTGAACTATGGAATGTTGGTGCAATGGTCTAAAGGTTAAGGACTTACCATGAGGCCTTAATGTCCTAGGTTTATTCTTCTGTACGTGTCCTGGATATGCACTGTTCAGTAGTCCCACAATAGGACGATATAGTTTTCCAGCGTTTCCTGGTTTTCACTGGTTGTTGTAACTAAGGTCAATCGGTGATATTAACTCTAAAAGTCAACAATCTTCACAAGTCTCTATGCTACTATCATAAATAAAATTTGTCTTCACGGAAAATTAGATCATAGATCGTGTGTTATGCATTCAATTAATTTTCAACCTGTCTAACGAAACATGTGAACACGTGTTTTTGTCAGTGTTGCCTTCAAAACAAACTTAAATACGTGCACGTGATTAAATAAAAAAAATATTTTGATAAATTAATGTGTATCAGGTCATTGTGACTACATGCCTTCTTACAATAAACATTTCCAATATACTTTGGTTATAATTAGTTTTCCTTATCAAATCGATAAGAGAGAATGAAGAATAGTTCTTATCGTATTCATTAATTTATATATTTTCTTTTATAGTATAAGCTGAACCAAAAAATGATTCAGAATATATAACGTTGTTTCTTTTTGCCATGTGTTTAATCAATTCACAGATTAATTAATCAGGAATCCATAGCTTAAGATGAAACTATTGTAGTTCACTGGTTTGAAGAAAAACTAATTATTATTGAAGATTTAAGATTTTGATCAGAATGGGGATTTGTGGAGATTGTAGTAATTTTACCAGTTGAATTCGTTAGTCGATCTAAGCTAGACCACCAGTGAAAACCTGAAAGCACTGGACGACCGTTTCGTTCCAGTATGAGAATTCGCAGAAGTTCACATCCACGATCCCGCACGCAAGACTCTAACCCATGACCTTCGGTCTCACGCGCGAACGCTTACCCTCTAGACCACTGGGATGGCATCCAACAGTGTTAATGTCTAACTTCAGTCGAACCATGATCTCGCGCAACCATTCATCCATTGTCTGAGGTAGATACTTGTGTCTACCCGACACGGATTGGACTTCACTGGTGTATGGGCATCTAGGCTTAGCGATTCATTGGATCGATAGATAGTAGGCTTAGGCTTTAATGTGAAAGACAACACTAAAAAGTAGGCACATTTAGTTGACAAGTCCTTAATACGTGGAAACGCGCTTCATGTATCCCATTGTTAATCACTATCCAACTCAAACAAAATCTTGTCACTAAATGGTAATATGAAAACAATACAGTTAGGATGTATATACGCAAATAAAAACTGATTGGCTGAAGTCCTGAACACGAAAATGGAAATCATTACAAACACGGAGGCCTTATCACTTGAACTTAATGTTTTTATACCAAAAAAGCATCATGTTTATTTGGAATTAAGCTTAAAATATTGTTAACTCCACAGTTTAAAGATTTTAAAAGATGTCGAAAATCCTTGTTGAATTCAAAACAACGGTTTTATGGATTCAAACAGTTTGGAAAGAAAATTTGTTCCTGTTGTATAAATCATTAACAAATAACATCGTCTTTATAATTAAAGATATATAGAAGAGCCTGGAATTTTATTTAATTATGAGATTCTTCGAAACGAATAAGTAATAATTTTACAAAAGATCGTTACGTATATGTAATCAACGATGTATTAAATGATATTTAATCATGTTTATTTTTGCCTGGAAAGATTGTGAGAGCTGTCTAAGTTTTGGTTTGCATCGTGAACCATTTTCGGCTATATGAAAATTAAAGATCGAGAAGCATTGTGTAACTATTTTGTCCCAGCGTGAGACTCCTCAATAGTGCCTTTCCATAGGGAACCGGACCTAGGACTTCTAGGTTTCACGACAGCTACTTAACCTCTGAAGCACTGAGTTGGCATCTAATAAATCAGATTCCTAAATTCAACTCGCGATATTGTTAATCAATTGTTTATTATCACTGATGATATCTATCACATGCCTGATATGGCTGAACTTTACTAGTCACTACTTCTTCCTAGAACTCCTAGCATTTTCCCTCATAATTAGTCATTCGTGAGCATATGATTGTTCACTCTTGTTACCTTCATTTAATCAAAAAATTAAGACGCTGTACTAAATTCTCTAGATTACTTGAAAATTAAACAACATACTTCTATATATATCGGCTGTAATCATCATTTGTTTTTCTTTTCCCTAAGGCAAATTAAGGCTACGATAAACCGAACAAAATTATCTGACGAAAGTGATACGTGAATTCCTGTTACATATGGTTTAAATCAAGGCCTCGCTAAGGCTTATCGCCCAAATGGAACACAATTTGAAACAGAATACCCTCATTTTTATTAAATAATCTAATAGTTATATGTACATCTTTTCGTCTACCCCGGTTTTATTTGTATTACCTAGCTTAATTTTAACTCTCATACACTCAAAGACTGGGAAAAGACTAAAGACTGATATTTGTAAAACAAATGATGTTTAACAATAACTACCACATTATCCCACTTCTCATTCTCCTAAAATCTAATATCACATTTAAAAAATTATGAAACAAAATCAAGCGTTACAGCGATACATTTGAAGCTCGGAATAATTCAAACCTATTTATATATTCACATGTACAAAGAATGCCAATTATACAAACTAATTCTACTGTTTATACTTATGTAATGTATAAAGATTCATGCATGAAATTGTAAACCTGTGGAAATATGAAGGGGTGTAACAATAAGACTCGATTAACCAACCGTAAATAAGCTGCCAAGTTATATATGCGAATATTCTGTTCGTTGTATCTTACCTTCATTTCAAATGATTACAAAATGAAAAATATGTTTATGCCTTTCATTGTGAGTTCAACAAAGAGATAAGAAGAATTTAATATTTAATACTGATAGGATTCTAATTGTTATAAAGTGAAGTAACTTTCCAAATTTCCGTGATAACTTGATTTAAACTCTTTCTATGTAAATTAGATGTACTTTAAAATGTAATTTAAAAAAAGACTGTTACGCAGTTTTGTTTAGTCTGCGAAGCTTTCCAATTAAATTTGCAAATTGGAAATAGTTGGGTGGTGTTACCTTAGTGATTAGTACTTTCCTGCATTGTAGTTATGACAAAAAAGATAACACGTTAGATTGATGATACGATGTTCAATAATTTCCACTTAGAATTTTGATTATTTGTTTACTCGAACAGGATACTATTGATGAGTCACTACCTTGTTTCTGATAGATTTAATTCTATAATTTTCACTGAAGTTTGAAAAAAATTCATTGTC